AAAACCTGGCAGCAATGTTGCTTTCATTTTTCAAACATTCATATGTTGCTTGGATTTGGGCCCAGAAAACAAGTGCTTAAAAAGCCGCTGAAAATATGTCCTATTTTGTCTATTTGTTTTCTTTGAGCTGGCCCTGGAAACATCCAAAAGAAAACGTTTTTGAAAGTTTTAAAATGTAGTGGATTTTGTCCGGAGTGTGCACCAAGAAACAGCTAACAAAACTGTTCAAATAATGTTATTTTGTTTTGCTTTGATTTCTATCGCACACACGCTCGACAACAACATTATGAGTTCCTGAGCCCAACCAGAAAAATGCATGCAATTTTCGCGAAACGGCACATAGGTAAGTATACACAAACCTATATAGATTGTGCGTTATATTTTTTTGAACCTCCCCGCAAAAACAAAAAGAAACGAACATATGTATGTATGCATGCATGTATGTAATGTAATGTCATGCAATGCAACGCAATGCAATGCAATGTAATGTATGTAAGTATCTATAGTATGTAGAATTCCTATTTCAAAGAACTGGTGTTGATAAATCTCGCCGCCAAAGAGAAACGAGCCAAATATGTATCAGTTGTGTTTTTAATTTTTGGTTACCTTCTTGTGACCGGCCACGTGGAAGAGTTGTGCCAGCAGCACACAAGCAAGGGCTGATATGCAAAAACCTGTTGGCCTTTGTTTTGTCCATCAGGGCTCTACATTTTGACATGTTGTTCAAAACCGTGCGCGGCATGATAATTCCAAAGTGCAGCGATTTGATTCCAATGGTTCATACGAGTTTTCCAATGCTTTAAGTAGTTACCCAGGTTGCTCAAAAATTATTTTTTTTTTTACTATTTCCCCACGAGGGTTGTGCAAATCCACAGTTCCAAAGAAAAAACTAAGCGAACAACTGTAACAAGGCGACCATGCAAAACGCTGCAACGACCGCTTTCTTCCACATCCTTCATCAATCCACTTAAAAAGGCTTCTCCTCAGGTTACTTGTCGCAAAAGAAAATCACAAAAGAAAAGGCACTCCAGAATGTAAAAAAGCAAGTAAGAAATGCATCGTACACACAGGCAATACGAACGCAGCTAACGGCAATCACAGTCTCGACCCTATAGTGTCCCCTGTGCCCTGCCTGAAAAGGCTCTGTTTGAAGGCCTTCATGCCCCTCCCCTTCCTTACTAATGTTTTACGTGGCTCGCTCAAACAAATGCCAAGCAACAACAGGTAATATACGGGAATGTTTCAAACCGAGCGTGCTCAATACGATGCCCCTAAAGAAGTTTTGTTGGAAGATTCAAGCGGTTGTGGGGCATCCCTATTTGAGACATCCCCTATTCGAGTTTTGAAGTGGGAACTGCATGTGCCATGTAGTATCTAATTTGTGATTTCGTTTCTTGATGTTTCCTGTGTGTTCTATGTAGAGCAACGGCAATGTCATGCCACTTGGTACATCGCCCCAGCGGATCACCTTAGGCGAGGTGCTAACAAATGATTTTCCGTCTTGAAATTATGGTTTTACCCCAAGTAAATGGCGCCGTAGCCAATATTTTCAATAGGCACTTACAAATAAATTCACAGAAGCACCAGATAAAAAAGGATCTAGAAGAAAACAAATGATTCGCTAACAGCAAAATATATCCAAAGAATTCCAACGATTTCCTGTTGCACTTTGCCACTTTGGTGGCATGTTGCCAGCGCCCAGAAGCTGGGGTATTCAAACAAATCTCAATGTTAAATATGTATAAATATGTGGGACCACCAAATGAATTTTCAGAGGTCACGGTACAAATCTAACCAAGGCCCTCTAAGCGGATTTTTTAACGTCTCGGTGCAGCGGATTGGCTGAAACAGACCCAACACGTCCGTCTACGCACAAAGCGGCACTCCCAAATACGACCTCAGTTGCGAGCTTTGCTTTGAAAGTTTAGTGCTGGCTCTAGACTTGGGCATGGCACAAAATTAGACATCAAGGATCCAAGGAAGGGGCAAACTTCATAACTTAGCCATACTTAGCCGACTTAGCCGTCGGCGTCATCGGTTCTCAGCCTTTTTTGCGCGCTGCATTTGGAGCATTTGGTTTGCCACAGCCCTGACCTGAAGCTTCCGCTCTCGTGCCGTGATAATGCGGAGCGGAGTACTTTGAGTATTTCCAAAGACTTGGTCAAACCGAGTCAAACCTCCCTTTCTCAGTGGATTGGCCCCGCAGTTCTTGAACATATGAGATACACCCACTGGTTCTGCTGAGACGGAGGCAGACTTGGGATCGTCACTGGCTGCTTCTGACAGCTTTGCAGCGTCTTCCAACGCTTGCTCCTTCCTGAAGCAAACTCGATGCTTCATCATCTTCTGGGAAATCACCATTTTCGAATATATTTTTTGTAAAAAAACAGTTCACAAAATCAATGCGCACATCACAAGGTATGAACCTCCAAACATTTGACATCCCAGGACCAACATGTGCAACTGGCAAGCCCGTGCTTAAGGGCCAGGAGACGAAGTCCGGGATGGGCCACGGATACACATCACACCTGAGAATTTAGAGCTCCAAAGTCCAAACATCTCTTCACCCCTTCACACTTCTTCCACGAAGCCCGAATTCATCTAAAGCAGTTGCAGCAGTCAACGATCAAGCAAAGAAATTCAAAATAGTTGAATTGAATTCACGCAGCACGGTTAGCGATGAATACATAATGACCCCGCCACCACCACCATCATCACCACTGCCGCCAGCAGCATCGGCAGCAGCATCATAATCATAACCGTAATCATCACATTCATAATCACAATCAAAAGAAATATATAAGTAAGTAGTAATAATAAAAAACATGACCACAATCAAAATCAATCATCATCAAATTGAATCATCATCAGAATCATAGTTAATTAATCATCAAAATTAATTCTTCACCAAAATTAATCCCCATCAAAACTAATCCTCATCACAATGCATCCTCATCAAAATTATTCCTCATCAAAATTAATCCTCATCATCATCATCATCATCAAATCATCAAATCATCAAATCATCAAGTCATCAAGTCATCATGATCATGATCATGATCATCATCATCATCAAAGTTGATCATCATCAATCATCACTACTATCAATTTGATACGCTCTTGAGCATACATGTAGCTTCAAATTCCAGCTGCAGGCATGACCAAGGGTCCAACGCGGTCGACCAGAATGATTCACTGCATCCCGACCACCCTGCATGACAGCAGCTGGAACAAAAACATCATGGCATATTGGCATATCCTGTTTGAACAGATTGATTTCACACTCGTATTGTTCGTCCTTTTGGGGCACTGGTCCACAAGCAGGGGGGCTCAAGGCGCTTCAATCAACATAACGAAGACAAACAATTCTCTATGAAAACTACAACAGAAAACCCAACAGGCCCTAGGAGCCTACTCCTTGCCAATTGAAGATTGTTTGTGAAAGGATTCATTTTGTTTGGCGTGCTGGAGGGACTTGGGGTATGCTCCAAATGTTGGTTCCAATCATCTTCGAACTTTGAAGTACCGGAAAATGTCCATGTGAAAAAGATGAACCATTGCCTCACACATTCAAGTAAAGCCAACAATCCACTCAGAGGACCTCGCAACCGGTCGTGGGGAAGATTCGGATTCGGCGTGTCAGCTGTGCTGAACTCATTTATTACCCTACCATTAGCTGTCCATGCCTGCGGAACAAAAATCTCCGCTTGGTAGGTGAGATCTCCAGAATTCACCGGGCCAGTTCGAACCTCGGCATTTCGGCATTCGGCAGCAGACTCTCGTAGCGTAGCGGCGTAGCTCCATGCTCGCTGAGATCGCAGCTATGGCCACGTTGGTCTCCACGTCCCCCTGTCAAGCCGTATCCAAGGCACAGGTGGCGAGCAGGAAATAGCAGGAAGCACAGTTGACAATAATTGACAATAATTGACAATAAGATCAAGAAAAACTGAGCTGAGTTTTGTGCTGTGTCCCCGTGCTCGAGGATTCTGGCCTGGGATATGGTGATAGTGCAGGAGAAACAATGAGAAAGAGAAAAATCAATGGCCATTTCAGGTACCTAAATTGGAGGTACCTACCATATATAAAGCCTATGTAAGGAAATATACCCTCAAAATATGGCTTTATATGGTACATTCAAAAACTAATGTCACCATCAATGCTAGTTACGACACCATGATCTTTATTCCACAATCATGTGATATCATGTCCGTAGCTGCCACTGGCATGCTCCAAGAATAGTTTCATTTATACAATATAATCTTATATAAAACATATTTCTCTGCAAATCATTGACCAAGAGCCAAAATGTGAGCCAAAAAACAACTGCAGGAATTCGTGATTCCTCTGCAACCAAGTGGCAGGAGAACCTTTGTAAGCCCGCCTTTTCTCAGAGTTCTGCTTCTCTTTTTCGGCTTTTTCGCCAGATGCTTTTTCCGCAGCCTGGCATTTGTTTCGTCACATTCCCACATGGATCCAATGAAATCATATCCTCAAATCATGCATCCCATTTTGTACATCGTTTGTCAGAATTGGTTAAGGGAAAACTCCCAGGGAATTACCCAGAAATGTCTTCGATGGTGCCCGGACCTCGCGAGATTTCAGCTTCGCCACAGGTGAACGTGATCTGCTCCTTCTGTGACGAGATCTGCTTCTTCTCCGAGGTGACCTAGCACTCCCACCAAAATGAATCCAAAATGAACCCAAACATAGAACCAAGAATAGAACCAAAATGGATGAAATACATGGAAAAACAATGGTGAAGCGATTCAAAGCAACAAGTCCCAGTCAGGTTTTGGATTAGTTGCGGATTAATTGGGTCTGAAGCCTCGAAATAGCGCTGTCTCTGCCAGGCTTCCGGCCTTGAGTGGGTAGCCGTGGCATGCTGTGGCTGGGGAACATCAAGCCACTTACCAAGGCACCTTTCGTCCCAGCCAACATAGAACAAACACAATAAAATAGCATCAGTCAACTTCAGTCAACCAAGAAAATTGCTCCATTTCGGCTCTCAGCTGTGATTTTCACTGCGTGACTTGGATCGTCTTGGATCGTCTTGGATCTGCAGCTTTCAGCAGGGCTCATCTCTAGGATGCTACTCCTATGTGAAACGGTACCTTTGCCGCCTTGGCTGCCTTAGCCTGCACAGCCGGCAGCAGCGTCGCAAATATGCACCAGGAGTTCTTGTGCTTTTCTCACTTCTGCCAATTTGGCCTGGCCAAGATAGGCCTGGTGATTGAACCTTGAGCTGTGCCAAGGAGTCCTTCTGCATTACATATTTCCATCCCCCCTTTCCAAAAAGGGGTGCAACTGCAACAACTCAAACTGGGTGGTTTCTGTAATCTCCCAGGCCAGTTCCCGCTACCCATTCTATGTGGTTTCTTTTTACTTGTCGCTACCTTGCCGTTCTGTGCAGCCAGTCGGTTGGCTATGTGCTTCTTATCTATTCCAAAAACCCTTTTTTTTGTGATGCTGCAGACCCTTGCTGGTGAAATGTCGGAGGCATTTTCGCGCCTGGTTCATATCATGTCATATGCTGATATTTGGTGGTCCCTTCCAAAATCGTCAATACCAGGAAAGCAATCAACCATTCACCAAAAAGAATCCAGCAAGTGATCCTCATGTCAGGTTAGACCCTTGGTCATTTGATGACAGGTTCCTTAAATTTCTGGTGGTTGTATCAATCTTGGTTTCTGCAATTCTTGTGCTGGTTTAAGTCATCATGCACTGAATATTTTTCTGAGTTACCCAGAATTTTAACACCCTCCATTTGGGTTTGTCTAAAATAGGGCAGCGCCAAATTGATTGACAATCTTTTTACGCATCAAAATAGTCATTTCGAAGTTTTCCAAACATACACACACATGTATATATGTATATGTATATATTATTATATAGAGTTTATCACTGGAACTGTTGGATCATCAGCCCCTCAGCCCCTTGGATCATCCGCCTCGCAGCTCCGCCGCTTCACGCGCAGCTCCTCAGGCTCTGCCAGGAGCTCTCCAAAGAGGTCCGTCTGGTAGAGGGCCTACGATGGATGTCTTGGGATGAAGTTTCAGATGGCATCAGATGGCAATATACATGTGTTATGTTGTGTTATGTCGTCAAAATGCTGTGTTGTGGTGTGAAACGCGTAGATCATGATATTTGGAGGATGTATTATCATGATATTAGGCTGTATTAGGTATAAATATCACACATGGTCAATTTACATGTAGAGCAAACAATGATCAAGTTGAAACGTAGCATGTTGAACCGGGTGATCATGGCGGGACAATGTCTGACCTTACTGAAATAGAATACGACTGCAAAGGGGTAGGGTAACAAATATGTAGAACATGGTAGAGCTATGTAGAAGTGAAATCTGTTTTTGGAAACCTCAACGTTCTAAGTAACACATGTCCGAAGCGTGCATGTCAAGCTGCAGCAATGCACTCAGCATGAAGAGATTCTTGAACTCGGTTCACCTGGTGGGCCGCTCCGACTTGCGGATGGAGGCTGCATGAAGGGATGAAGGGATGAAGGGATGAAGGGATGAAGTTGAATAAGGGATGAATACAGGTCCCGGGACACCAGATTCTGGGCCACGGGCCATGAAGTGCATAATGGTCTTCGGCACGGAATCGATCAGCTTTCCTGAAGATTCGGAATCGGTCAGTTGGTTTCAGTTGGTGCCTTCAGTGGATGACTGCCTTGTCAGATTGACCCAAACATGTACACAGTTCCTATTATGAAAAGCGGGCTTTGGCCTTGGATAGCACGCATACACCATGCAAATGGCCCTTTGCCATATGCTTTTGGCAACATGACTAACCGTTTCGAAGATTTCAAAAGCTAGATCTGGGATGTGAAGGGGTCTGGGCTTGAGTAAATCCAACACATCTGAAGCAACCAACATGTAGCCGTGTAGCCCTTTGACACTCAACCCATTGACGCTGCCAAGTGGCGCTTGACAATGGTGAAATATGACAAAAGCAGCGACCTCAAAGCGCAAACTGATTTACCATCTGCAAGCTGCCAGAAGCACCAGAAAAGTAAAATCTGTCCAAGGTGCCAAACTAGTGTTCTATCATGTTCTATCATTCTATCTGGCGGTTGCTATCCCATCCATTTTCGTTAGTTTTTCCACTTTTTTTGGGTGCCCGATGACCCATGACGCACCACAGCTTCAGAGGAAAATTGCGCTAAGAAACTTCAGCAGCTTCGTGTCCATATGTTCTCTCTCCGACGGTGCTTCTGCCGGCATCACCACCAATGGCACCGGTGGTAGTTGAATGACGTCCCCGGCCTGACGAAGCTTTTGGGTTGTGGACCACCTGCATTACTATTATTATTGCTATTTCCAATAGAATTGACTTGGAGGGCCCCACTTTTGAGACACTGATCCTTCTCTCCAAATTCAAGGTTCAGGTCAAGATGGGTCGAGCTGTTGTGGACATATCTTTGGGGCAAGTGCGCCTCGTTGGACAAGCTTGTTGAAGCCGTGCTTGCCTCACTCAAGCAACAAGTACCAAGCAATGCAAGAATTATTTGATGAATGTCAAAAGGCTAATGACAATTTTGAATACTCTCGCTTGGATCGTACAATTATGATGCGGGACGGCTTCTTGGAAATTGATCTGGTTTAAAGTGGGTTATCGGCGTTATCGGTCGTGTCCAATGTTGGATTTGAGCAGAAAAAACTTGAGGTTCAGAAATAGGTTCGGAAGGCCTGCAAATGCCATGGAAATATTCAACATCTTCGGAAGAGTGGTGGCAGGCATACTTATTTCAGAGTTGTCTGCTGCTGTTTGTCAATATTTCTAGCATCTGTCTTCTTGGTAAGGGTGTTGCACCCTTGAGTTGCACTGTGGAAGCTTCTTAGGGGCTGTGGATGGGCCATGGCTGCTGCGTGCTCATGGGGCGGGCGCATCTGACAGCATGTTCTTTTGTATGTAGTTGCTCTTCGGTGCTGTGGCCAAACTGTGGGGAAATATCTCACAAGCAGTTTGGTTTTGCACTTTTTTGCAGCAGCTTGAATGAAGGTGGAAAGCATCTTACAGGCACTTTGTTCTTGCATCGTGGCAGTGAGATCAACAAAAAATGGTTACATAGTGGAATGGTTGAACAAACAGCGCATAGCTAGTTCTATTCTCATCCCACCAACGATTTAACATTCTTGTTATTCGCCAAGTGCACCAAACCGTAAAAACATCAACCTCTGTTCAGACGGGGAGAGGCATATCAATCTCAACTACTGATTTCATAATTCACCAAGCTGGAAGCAGCTGGAAGGGAAAAAAACAAACAGTGCCATTTTGATATGGAGCTTTCCTAAAATGGGGGTACCCCCTGTAAATCCTGATGTGTGGATTCAGTTGCTCACAGCCATTCATAGTGAATCACTATCAGAATCTTGGCACGAGCCCCCTTTTACTTCAGCCTACAGCCCGCGCTCAGTGGACAAATAGCGTGTGCTCTTGCGTTGGTTTGAGATCAAGGGTTACCAGTTCGTTGGTGCTTTTCATTTGAGGTGTGCTCCCTACCATCTACATGGTAGCGGAGCCTGAAACGGGCAGGGCCTACCACCGATTTGAGATTTCCGATGTCCTCTACCAGTGGTAAGGATCAAGATCCTATTGACTGGAAGTACCCATATTGGGACGGTGATTGGTTGACTTTTCAGGACTATGCTTTGAGGGTTGAACTCAAAGCTGATGCGACCAAACCAGAGGAATTAGAACAGTTAGGACCAAGACTAGCTGGCAACTTGGTTGGAAAGGCCTTTGAGAGCATCGTTGACATTAGCAGACCTGACTTGAAAACCAAAACGGGTTGGAAGTTCCTGCTTCAACACCTGGAGAAGAAGAGAGGCAAGGAGAAGGTGGATATCTTAGGTGATTCATTCACAGATTTCTTCATTCGCAAAGATGCTCAGCGAAGGGATGGAGAAGAACTGAGTGATTATGCTTTGAGATTTACCTCCCTTGTCAGAAAGCTGGACCGTGCCCTCAAAGAGTCAGGAGCAGAAGGAAAGATTCCTCAAGAACTCTACGGATGGTTCCTCTTGAATGTGTACATGAGAATGGAAGCGTCTGACGTCGCCAACGTCAGGGGAAGAGCTGATTCGTATCGACTTGAACATGTACTACAAGCTTTGAACCGCATGTGGAGTGGAGGAGGTTTGTCAGTGAAAGATGCAGAGAAGAAAAGACGAAATGGAGGACAGACCTTCATGATGGATCACCTCGATGAAGAGGAAGAAGAGACCTATGAGACGGAAGAGATCTATGTCAATGAAGAGGACAACTACGAGATGGTAGCTGCGGCCGAATGGTTTCATGAGATCAATGCTGCTTTCATGGAAAACCCTGACGATGAACAGATCTTTGCATCATATCAAGAAGCCAGAATGGCGAGAGGATACTACCCGGTGAAGAATCCCAACCAGAACTTCACTTCGAAAGGCCAAAAAGGCAAGGGTTTTGGCAAAAACTATGGAAAAGGGAAAGGCAGTTCTGGAAATGGAAAACATGTGACCTTCGACCACTCCAACAAGACGTGTCTTCGATGTGGAAAGCTGGGCCACATAGCTCAGAACTGTCCACAGAGACCCCAAAATACGCCAGGAACTTCACATGGCAACAATGGCAAGATCGGTTTTGTCGGCACAGTGTTCATGAACCAAGGAGAAGTCGATGACAGTGGCGACTACTGGACCATTGACTACCAGCTGGGTCAATGCCATCGACATCATGTGCAACCTCGAAAGCGACTTTATCTACCTGAAGAAGGAAAATGTCCCATATCATGTGAGATGCTGGAGAACCGTCGAACCACCGAAATGCAGTTCGACGTGGGAGAAGGGAAGAACCAGATCCATGATGAGTGGGATCAAGAGTCGGCGGCGTATCTCACGACGAGCAGAAGATGGAGGGGTACAACAACCTTCTACTTTGCTGCGGTTGAGAAGGGTGAGATCAACTTCAGCGATGACAAACAGGCAGAACAGGAAAGCCATGAGGATGAACCGACAAAAGCCGAGGACACTGAAGAGGTCTATGGCATCCATGGAAGACACCCACTTTTGGGCAAAGCCATCTTGGACAGTGGAGCCACAGATAGCATTATTGGTGTGGACACCCTTCAGGACTTGGCTGGCGTATATGAAGACATGGGGTTCAAGCCGGAGAAGGAGATCGAAGTGGATCGTTCGGTCCACAAGAACTTCATCTTCGGAAACAACCAAAGCAGCTCAGCTTTGGGTCTCTCACACATCAATGCGGGATTGTGTGGAAAGGAGATCAATGTGCAGGCCCATGTTGTGGAGGGAGCAACACCTTTCCTGCTTTCATCCAAATTCCTGTATGACACGAAGGCCACTATCAATTTCAGGACAGGGATGGCGGTGTTCAAAGCCATCTCAGATGAACATGTGAAGTTGGAGAGAAGTCCAGGACATCATCTCCTACTACCAGTCACGGCCTTTGGTGGAAATGGGAAAGTGCTTCAAGCCATGCAGGCAGACCAACGCGATGAACATGTCAAAGAGATGAGTGAAGATGCTTCGACCGGAAGATCGAGTACTGAGGGAAAAGGGGGCAATTCTGAGTCCACCGTTTAGGGACAACTCCACCAGGGTCAAAATGGACACCTCACCAATGGTGAAGTGAAGACCTTGAGTGGAATTGAAGGTGAGCCAATTTATTTTCAAACTCAGGATAGCCAAGAAAGTTGTTTGGACACTTCTCATGAGATTGATGGTGTTTTTGATGTTTTTGTGGATCACCCATTTTCCGAGAATGAAACTCAAAACATGGAGCCACATGACAGAACTGTGTTGACGGCACATCTTCAGGATGAACTCACTAAGGGAAGTCAGGCCCTGCATGACTTACTTAGGAACCAAAAGCTCGATCTCCTAGAGGTCTGCGCTCCTTGGGACAGTCCACTGTCAAGCACAATACGTTCTATGGGGGGAAAGGCTTACTCAATAGGAAACCACAATGGATTTGATTTGTCAACTCGAAAAGGTTTTCTTCGAGCGGCCAATTTTATCAGGGAATTCAAACCGGGTTACCTTCATGTGTCACCACCTTGTTTTCCTTGGTCACCCCTTCAGAACTGTAATCAAAGGACTGTAGAACAGAGGCAGGCTTTGGAGGAGAAACGCCAAACCAGCAAAAGGATTTTGAAACACTGTCGTAAACTTATTGAAATCCAGTTGTATGAGAACAATGAAGATGGCGGTTTGGCTTATGAGACTGATGGTTCATCTTGTCATGCGGGGGGGGAACATCCTTTGAGAGCACAGAGTTGGTCACTCGACGACATGAGGACCATGCTTCGAATGTGTGGGCCACGTTTTGCAGTACATGGGTGCAGACATGGTTTGGTTTGTAGAAAAACTGGGGAATTAATCCAGAAACCTTGGGGTTGGTTCTCCACTCATAAAGGTGTGAGGGATAAGCTTGCGGCAGTGTGCAATCATGGAACTGGGGTTCATAAAAAGATTGAGGGGAGTATCACTGCTTCTACTGCGGTTTATCCACCACTTTTGTGTCGACGTTTTGCTGAGGCCATTTTGGCCAAAACACGACAAGTTTCTGTTTGTTTTTCTGAGTATGATGTTGATGATGTTCATGGTCATGTTTTTGCTGAGGAAGGAGAGGAGGATCAACAGGAGGAACAACCAGTGATAGATCTGGATGGTAGCCAAGAGATGGAGGAACAGGAAGGAGGCCCAGGAGATGAGGAACAACAAGAACAAGACAGTGAAACCGAAATCATGGAAATCAAACAAAAACTCAAGATGATTCATAGGAATCTAGGTCATCCCAACAATGAGGCCATGTTGAAGATGTTGCGCGATTCCGGTGCCAACAAAAAGGTTCTTGATTTGGCGAAAGATTTTTCATGTGAGTTTTGTTTGCAAAGGGGAAGACGGGCACCAGCAAGACCTTCCACGGTTACCAAAGTCACTGAGAAATGGCACTGTTTATCAATTGATACTTTTTGGTGGCATACCCCAAAAGAAGTGTTGCGACCTGGTGAGAAACCTGTTTATGCTTTGGGTTTGAGTATCATGGATGAAGCCACGGATTTTCATGCGGGGATCATTCTCAAAACCAGTACTGAAGGAGCCCTTAGGAACATTTCTGCCGAAGATTTTAAGAAGGGTTTTTCCAAGGGTTGGTTACAACAGTTTCCTGCACCGAGCCTTTTGCGTTACGACGAAGAAGGCTTCATGCGATCCGTGAAATTAGTGTCTTGGCTTGAAATCTTTGGAATCAAGCTGGAACCGATTTCTGGTGAAGGATCCTGGCAACTTGGCAAACATTCAAGACACCTGCAAACCCTCAAAGAACAGATGAACCTTATTTGTTTTGAAATGGGAAACCAGTTTGATGTTGAAGAGCTTTTAGGACTCAGTTTAAGTGCCAAGAACAGCATGCACCAGATTCGCGGATTCAGTCCGTACCAGTGGGCTTTCGGCCAAAATCATGGGAGAATTTCCTCGTTCTTACAAAACAGTGAGAACCTTCCTTTGCACTCAGCAAGAGAGGACCAAACTTTTGAAGAAAAGGTCCAAGCTGAGGCAAACGCCAGAAAGCTGTTTTTGGAAATCGATGCGAGACGACGCATAGCCCGAGCGTTGCATGCAAAAAGTAGAACGATTCGAGAGTTCACCATGGGAGATCTGGTTTATTTCTTCAGAAAAGGCATCAAACAAGGTTCAAGGTATGGAGGTACTTGGCATGGACCTGCGAGAGTGCTGGCACATGAGAAAACATCACATTTGGAAGAACAAAAGGCACCAGGTTCAGTTGTTTGGATCACTCATGCTGGTAAAATCATTAGATGTGCACCTGAACAGTTGCGACATGTGACACATGACCTGAGACATCTTGACAAAGAGATCAACGGACCCCAAAATTTCCATACCATGTTGGAACAAGTGAGCAACCAGCTCAAATATCTCGATATCAGTCAAGAATATGAAGGGGAACTGTTTGATGAACCGGATGAGCGAATGCCGCAGTTCAGGGCTCGAGAAAAACAAACAGTGCCTCCCGAATTTCTTGGACCAAGAAAGGATCCACCCCGAGACGCACATGGCGACTCACAACAAAGACCTGAAACAGCTGTTCGAAGCGGTGGTCAAGAAGAAGCAGGGGCAGAAAGAACTCGATCTCGAACACCTACCTCTGGCAGAATACGGAGAGATGAAAATGACAGTCGGCGAACGCTACAAGGGAGTGGCATTCAAGGAGATCTACAACGACCAAGGATACAACAAATGGGTGGTGGATCACTACCAAGAGGGGAAGTCGTCTCAGGGGCTCAAGGAGTACGCGATCTACATGAACCGTCGGCTTCTGAGGAAGATGGCCGAGACTCCTTCAAAAGCGGAGACCTTCCATTGAAATCCAAGACCTTGAAGAAGGAGGTGAATCCAGCGAAGGAGACACCCGACGAGACCATGAGCATCAACAAGAGGATTCATCAGGAGGAGGAGTCGGAGATGGGATCTCACTGGACAAGAGTCGAAGAAGTCGAATCCGAGGTGATCCAAATGAAGCATCGTCTCAGCAACATGGAGAACATGATGGAGAAGTTCTTGCATCACATTCAGGACAAGCAGTGAGAGTGGACAGAAGTCGTTCCCCTAAGGAAGTTCCATCAGGAGCGAAGACTCCTGAGAGGATCGGGGACAGTGATGACTGTTTATATGCCTGTTCCGACACTAAAAGTTATGAAGGTTTTGTTAACAACCTCCATGTTTGTGAATTCGAGCTGAACTTGGCACCTAGGGATGTTCACATGGGCAAAGGTGGCATTTGGATGGTAAATTCCAAAGCCAGAAAAGGGGTCGAAGTTTCTCTTCGGAATTTGAAACAAGAAGACAAGCTTGAGTTTGAGAAAGCCATGAAAAAGGAAATCGATTCTTTTGTTTCTAGTGAGGCTGTTCAAATCTGTGACTCTCAAGGTATTCCCGAAGAAAGAATCCTCAAAATGCGTTGGATTTTTGTTTGGAAACCTTTGAATGATGAGCATGGAAAAGAAATAGGCAAAAAGGCTAAGGCACGATTGATAATCAGGGGATATGAGGATCCTCGACTGACGACACTGGAACGAGAAGCTCCGACACTTTCGTGCCTTGGTAGAAATCTGCTTCTTTCAGAAACGGCCAGGAAAAAGAAACCACTGTTTTCTGGAGACATCAAAACAGCCTTCCTTCAGGGCGACAAGAGTGAACTGGATTCCGAAGTTTATGGGCTACCCCCTCAAGATGTTCGGGAACGTTTGGGTATGAAACCTCATGAGATCCTCCGTATTGCTAAGGCGATATATGGTTTACTCAATGCCCCAAAGAGATGGTATGATGCTTTGAGTAAGTTCCTCGTCAATGATGGTTGGATGATCCATTCCTTAGACAAGTGTTTGTTCAAAAGAATTGATGAAAATGGTTGTGTTTGTGGTTATTTGGGAATTCATGTGGATGATGTGTTGACTTCTGGGGATGGAATGGTTTATAAACAGGCTATTGACCGTTTGAGACAACAGTTTTCTTTTGGTAGTTGGGAAAATGCGATGGATGGTACTATTACCTATTGTGGTTGTGAAATCAGACAACATGATGACTATTCGATTTCTCTTGATCAACAAAAGTTTTCTTTGTCTATTGATGAAATCAACGTTTCTACCGAAAGAAAAATGAATACACAAGATGTCGTGACTGAAAACGAACGCAAAGGTATGAGGCAATGCTTAGGAGCTTTGAACTGGAGAGCAACACAGAGTGCACCATGGCTACTTTCGACAGTTAGCCACCTTCAAGGAGTGGTTGAACATGCACAAGTCCAAGACCTTCTTGCAGTTAACAGACTAGTTCGTTTACAGAGAAAACATTTTGACCAAGGGTTGTACTTTGCGGTTCTCAAGGGTTCATGCACTTTGCTGACCTATACAGATGCTTCTTGGGCAACTCGAAGGGATGGTAGCAGTCAAGGTGGACAAATCACTCTGTTGGTGGAACAAAACGCTCTTTGTGGAAGTAAAACAAAGTTCTCAGTTCTTAGCTGGAGTAGCAAAAAGTTGAAGCGGATTGCCAGGAGTTCGACTAGTGCCGAAACTCAAATGTCTGCGAATGCTTTAGATTCCCATGAGTTTGCCAAGTTGGGTTTCTTTGATCTGCAGTGTAACTACAAACTTGACTTGAGAAAGAGTGATGACTATCTCTCTAGCTTCAAATCTGGCCTTGTTGGAGATGCCAGAAATATATATGATGGTATAGTCAAGGTTGAGACTTCAGGGCTTCACATGGCCGAACGACGCACGGCAATAGAACTGCTAGCAATCAAGGAAAGGCTTTCACAAGCGAGTGTTGAGCTCAGATGGGTAGAATCAGAATGTGACTTAGCGGACGGTTTAACTAAGCCTTGGAAACATGAACCTGTGATACGGACTTTGAAAAAGAAAGAGATTTGCCTGGTCTATGACCCTGAGTTTCAATCATCTCGGAAAAAGAAAGCTTTGCGGAAGTATGCCAGCGATGCTATTTTCTGTGCTTGGCTATCTGCAGTCTATGATTTGGCTGTTTGAGCAAACACAATTTTTGGAGCGATGTAAATCCTGATGTGTGGATTCAGTTGCTCACAGCCATTCATAGTGAATCACTATCAGAATCTTGGCACGAGCCCCCTTTTACTTCAGCATACAGCCCGCGCTCAGTGGACAAATAGCGTGTGCTCTTGCGTTGGTTTGAGATCAAGGGTTACCAGTTCGTTGGTGCTTTTCATTTGAGGTGTGCTCCCTACCATCTACACCCCCAAATATTTTTTTCCAGTAATCCCTTCCTCCTAATACTAAACGTCCCCCTAATACTAAAAACAGGCATCCATCTCCAATTTCCGAAAATTTCAGTTTGGCCAATTTGACTTTTAATTGATCCCCTTTTAAAAACAATTTAAAAATCAACCTACCATTTGTGGGTTCTCCCCCCTAATACTAAAAACTAGTTCACCCCGGGGTGTTTAGTATTAGGGGGGCCTAGTCCCAATCCCTCACTCCAAGCTGCCTAGCTACTCTAGCAATTAGGGGTAAGCTTCTAACTGCCATTTTTGGCAATATTTTAATTGCGTTATATAAGGAAATTTAATTGATTTTGAGATCGGAAAAAATAGTTTTTAGTATTAAGGGTTTTAATTTAGTATTAGGGGTAAGCTTCGAACTGCCATTTTTGGCAATATTTTAATTGCGTTATATAAGGAAATTTAATTGATTTTGAGATCGGAAAAAATAGTTTTTAGTATTAAGGGTTTTAATTTAGTATTAGGGGTAAGCTTCGAACTGCCATTTTTGGCAATATTTTAATTGCGTTATATAAGGAAATTTAATTAATTAATTAATTAACATGACTTCGATTTGGTTCCCTAATAATAAATACCCCCCTAATACTAAAAACTACCTGCCGTGTTTTGTATTAGGGGGGGGGTTTAGTATTAGGAGGAAGGGATTATAAACCATCCATTTGGAGGTGCCCTCATTTATGGCTGCTTGTGGAAGTTGCAGCGTGAAAAGCATCTCAGGATTACTCAATGTGTCTTTCACATCCCCGCATCACAGCCACGTTCTATGCAGAACGTCCATTTACAACATTCATCTTGAAACCGGTCTCTATTTTGCCTAGCCCTAGAATTGGATTTTTGGTTATCGTTCGGTTATCGTTCGGGATATCGTTTGGGGCCATGGCCAAGAAACACAAAGTGCACGTTCTAACGTATTAAAGAGAAACAGCTTAGCAGGAACGATTTCCACAATGGCGGTTTTGCTGAGAGCGCCAAAAAAGTCCACACCATGCAGAACACTATGCAAAATGTCCATCAGGACAGCATTGGATGGAGAGATTTTGGCTGTCTGTCTTTGTGAAGGGTCAGCTAAATAATATCAGCAAGGATATCTTAAGTAAAAGGCTTTGGTTATCGATCTATACGCGGTGACAATAAAAATGATAGCTACATATAAGGTTTTTTCTACTATCGTCCCCTGCGCAGGGCCAATCAAATTTGAAAAAACAAGCACTTCAACAGCGGCAGTTAGGTGCAGGCCGGCTTCTTGATACTAAAAAAGTGGTGGGGACAGCAATGTCTCAAAACCCTGCAAAAACGGAAATCCAGGTTTCTGTGGTGACTGAGGGGTGGGCAGCTTTTGGGGATTTGTATGCGGAAGCGTCAGATAACTCAGATCGTCTGTCAGTCTTCGCACTTGACAATCCTCCTGGCCTCTTGACACCTCCCATATTCTACAATCTGTCCATGGTGCCGAGGTAGCCTTTGGAGAACTTTCCGGACGTGCTTCTTGTACACCTTGGCAGCAGCAAAGTCTCACAACACGGCCCAATGTCAAGCCAAGTTTGGCTGTGCCGCTGATACTATTCTTTACATCCATCTACTGCATATGGCACTCTGTCATACTTTGTCTCTATGACTTCGTCCTAACTTCAACAATGATTCACAATAGCTGCACATCGGCTGCATGTGGAGCTCATGTTTGATCTTTATGATTTGGTAAGTAAGTCTTGCATCAGGGTATGTTGCTGAACAATCCGAAACCCATTGGGCAATTGGAATGTCCATATATAATCATATATATTGAAACGGACAAATTTCGTTAGAGTGCAAAAAATGAACAAATACAAGTGAACTTCTAAGATGTTAAAATCAATTTTGGGAACTTATTGGAACTACCCAAAGCCAACCAACCACGAAGGAAGTGCAAAGCGTCCCCATCGCCACCTAACCGCGTCGGAGTGGCAGGACATAGCCCCGAGGCCACCAATGAAGTCCGGATGATCCGTCTGAGATCAAGTGGAAATAAACCACGACAACATACGACACAACATACGATAACATACGATTGCAGACTTTGCAGACTTCACTGGGTTTCAATTTGCAGGTCCAATTTGGGTTTCAATTTCTGTTAGCGTAACAATGTGTCTGCGACAAATATACCTGCGCACGTCTTTGAGTAGAATCTAATCAACCACGATGTCGCTCAGCTTCCAACATTGATGTACTCGCGTTCAATGCGTATCAGGTTGGACACCTCATATGGAGGGGTGTGGATTGCCAAGTAAAATCATCATCTAAGGCCCAACCCCATTTTTAACATCTCTCATTCTCTCTCCCTCTCTCAAACCCTGATACTTAGCCTACTTTGCGATTTTGAAACTCCTCTCCTCTTCTACAGAATGAATTGTGGCAGCACACTTTCCCCGCAAACGACAATTAAACAATTCAAGTCCCAACAGCCACAAGAACAACCAAGCCCTTTACAAAAGAATTCCGAAGACAGTATAGGTTAGTATAGGGATGTATATGGGATGTATATGGTACTGCTTTCCGTTTAGTGTGTGCACTGCCATTGCCCCAGCACGTATCAGCTACGTGTAACTGCGATCACGGCACCATGTTGCTTGCAGGCTGCAGTGATCGTCGAATTACCGCGTGGGCCACCTCCAGCATCTTCTCGCGAAGCCCTGGGCCGCAGAGTGGAAGACTCTGAGGAAACCCTCAACGTCCTTCTCTTTACAAAGCACTCTTACATGCCTTCCTGTAGATTTTGCCAGATGTGGCACGCATCATGTCCAGGTATTTTTAAGATATTGCCAGCATGCCATACATCAGCCATGGTTCGCTCGGGACTTCAGCAACTTGCCGAGTGGCCAACAAAGCGCCGCATTTCTGGACATTCGCTTTGGGATGCCAACAGCTTGAGTTCCTCGAAGACCATTGACACGCACCTGAGCGAGGTCTCCACTGGTTGCCTATAATGTCACCTATGGGGAATGTCAATGAAAGTGGTATTTCAAACAAATAACACAACTAGTTTATGGAAGAAACTGGACATTGTAAGCAAATGAAGTGGTACCCAAAGAACAGAGGTTTTCAGGTTGTCCATGGTTGTCCACATCTTTCAAATCCACAGGTGGTGAAACTGATGCGGCTGAGGCGCTGTAGCGCTGGCTCTTCTAACTTCTGGATCTGTCGTTTCACCATCCTTTCGAAGGCCATCTCGGGCACAAAGAGCCTCAGCTTATGGGCCTCTCACCGAAATAACACGTGTTTACAAATAGAAACAGAGTAAACAATAGTAAACAAATAGTAAACATACTATCTTTGGGTTTCCATTTTTGTCTCTGCAAAACCTAAAAAGGTTTCATCCTCCTGTTCTGACTTTTCACTTGGAACAGCTACTCCATCACCACAACTCCAATGTAATGTCATTAGTCCAATGCAGTCCAATGCATTGTCCATGCGGTCCAGTTTCTTTGGCTTGGGGCCAGCAGCATTTCGCATGGCCACGCGGATGTCCATGTCAGACAAACCCGTGAACGCATCGAAGTCCAAGACGGCCTGTGCAGCAGTGTTGAAACGCCAAGTTGTTTTGAAGGTGTCAATGGGAAATCATCCAAAGGTAAGTCGACTACTGGGTAGATAAGTAATGATAAGTAGATACGATTCAGAAACACCTCGGCCCAAATCAAGACAGCTCCGTCTGAATTAACAAACATCATAAATAAACATCTTCAGCCATGCAGTCAGTGACAATAGGTGACTCACGGGACACCTATTCCCAGCTATTCCTGTACCTGTGCGAAGATCCGGTGGAAAATGTGATGAATCCTCGCGCCACCCATAACCTTTGCAGGTGGAACCTCCTGGCGACCGTTTATCCAGGGGATGAGAGGATTCTTTTTGCGAACCACTTCTATCACCTGTATCTCTTTTACGAAATCACCTTCAAGTGGTGAAACTATGTGAAACTATGTGAAACTCAAGGGCATGAGGGGTGGCTACAGAGTTTTTCCTAACCTTCAGGTAGATCCTCTCCGGTCTCCTGGAGTCGATGGCCCACACGGCCCTCCAATAGATCTGTGAAGTTGCGGACATAGCTGGAGATCAGATGTAACCTGCCACTGATGTAATCTGATGTAGTCTGATGTAGTCTGATGTGCAGGTCATGACTTGAAATTCGGTCGAAAGGCTCAAATCATGGACCTTCGGCATTTTTGATCCGCCCAATATGAAGCTAACTAAACAAAGGAACAAAGAACCGCGGAGTATTCGATGCAAACAAAACCATCACTTGGCAACGCCCAAATCCCGGACATGGGCATCTTCTGGCGTGTTTCCATTGAAATCTAATCTGCTAATCTGTTCAGTCGTCAAATTGGCCAATAGGGTTGGCTTCCAGCCAGGTTGCAGAAACGGTCCTTGACCCATTTGCTTCTCCAGACTTTCATCTCCGAGGGCTGTCAACTCCTGAAAAACCCCTCGCACACAATTAAAAAATGGCTGTGCGTTCTCTGAGTTGTGGAGTATGTATGCGCAATGTACAAACATTACCATACGGCGTACCAATGGTAGTGTACCGAAAGGAACATATTTACACACCAAAAGAAACATGTGGTGCGTTTGAAAACTATTTGCTGAAATTCAAAAGGTTTAAGCGACTAGGTATGAGATGTGTTTTTTTGTTCCGCCCTGCCCCCTGAACCCCCCCCCCCCGGCCCCCGAACGTGCTAAATCAAGACAAACTTCTGACATGATGTCGGCCGTTTCTTTGATAGTACAAAATGGGTGCAGAATTGTTTTTGTTTTTTTTTTTACAGTTTTGTTTTTTTTTTTGGTTTCGTGCCTGGTGTGATTTGTATAGGTTTTGCTGCGCAAAAAAAACTTGTGATTTTCCATGGCATTTGCTACATTTTGGTGCTTTGGTTTTCATTTTGCATGGTTTCTGCCACGTTTTGCTATTTGTTTCGACCTAAAACTTGTGAATTTTCTATGGTATGTGCATCTATTTGCTACATTTAGGTGCTTTGGGCTGCAATTTTGCACGTTTTGGCATTTTAATTCTCATTTTCAAAAATGGTATTTGTCACATTCACTTCAAACTCTCAAGTTGCACTGTATTTGCTGCATTCCGAGACTCTTGATTGTTGTGCTGCTTCTTGTTGTTGGTGTTGTTGTTTTTGTTCTTGTTGCTGCTGTTGTTGTTCTTCTTGTCGTCAAAGTTGTTGTTGTCGTTGTTGCTGTTGCTGTCGCTGCTGCTGTTGCTGCTGTTGCTGTTGTTGTTGTTGTTGCTGTTGTTGTTGTTGTCGTTGTTGTTGTTGTTGCTGTTGTTGTTGTTCTTGTTGCTGTTGTTCTTCTTGTTGCTGTTGTTCTTCTTGTTGCTGTTGTTCTTCTTGTTGCTGTTGTTGTTGTTGTTGTTGTGGTTGTTGTTGTTGTGGTTGTTGTAGTTGTTGTAGTTGTTGTTGCTGTTGATGTTGCTGTCGTTGTTGATAAAGAGCGGGTGGGGGGGCTTCGCAGAAATTGCGATTACTATGTTTTTGTTACATGTTACAAAATTTGCGTTTTGTCGTTGCCTTGTTGTTTGCCGTTTGTTGCTGTTGCGGCTGCCGCAAAGCGTTTGTTGTCGTTGTTGTTGCTGTTCTTGTTGTAGTTGTTGATAAAAAAGCGGGTGGGGGGTGCAGGGGGGAGGGCGCAGCGCGCCTCCCCCCGCAAAGCGTTTGCAGAAATTCTGAATGGTGTGTTGTTGTTTGTTGTGGTTGTTTGTTGTTGTTCTGTGTAGTTGTTGTAGTTTGTTGATAAAAAAAACAAAAAACGGGTGGGGGGTGCAGGGGGGAGGGCGCAGCGCCTCCCCCCGCAAAGCGTTTGCAGAAATTCTGAATGATATGCTGCGGCTGTCTGATGTTGATAGAGAGCGGGTGGGGGGCGCAGGGGGGAGGCGCTGCAAAGCGTTGCAGAAGTTCGGGCTGCTTATTGATATGTTGCGGTTGTGGTCGTTGTTGTCGTCCCTGCGCAAAGCGTTTGCAGAAATTCTGAATGATATGTTGCGGCTGTCTGATGTTGATAAAGAGCGGGTGGGGGGCGCAGGGGGGAGGCGCTGCAAAGCGTTGCAGAAGTTCGGGCTGCTTATTGATATGTTGCGGTTGTGGTCGTTGTTGTCGTTGTTGTTGCTGTTGTTCTTGTGGTTGTTATTGTTGTTGTGGTTGTTGTGGTTGTTGTGGTTGTTGTTGTTGTTGTTCTTGTTGTAGTTGTTGTGGTTGTTGTTGTTGCTGTTGCTGTCGTTGTTGATAAAGAGCGGGTGGGGGGGGCTTCGCAGAAATTGCGATTACTATGTTTTTGTTACGTTACAAAATTTGCGTTTTGTCGTTGCCAGCCATTAATGCTCGTGTTGTACCAGCCTACTGCTATACCAGCTGGATACATAGATAGATACCTAAATAGATACATAGATAGATACATGGATAGATACCTATATAGATACATAGATAGATACATAGATAGATACATAGATAAATAGATAGATAGATGGATGGATAGACAAGTAGGAGTAGCCATGGATGGAAGGACACACAAATAAATGGATCGATAGACAAATACAAAGGAGAGATAGAAAAAAAACGCAGAAAAGCAAACAAGCAAAAAAGCAAATAAGCAAAAGAGCAAATAAGCAAAAAAACAAAAAAGGCAAAAAAACAAGAAAAACAAAAAACAAACAAGCAAAAAAAACAAAAACAAAAAAATAAGCGAAAACACAGAAAAAACAACAACAAACAAGAAAAAAAAGAAACAAACAAAAGAAAGCAAAAAAGGCAAACAAAAAAACATCAAAAAAGAAAAAACACAAACAATAAACAAAAAAGCAAACAACAAAAAATCAAAACAGCAAAAACAGGCGAAAAAGCGAAAATAACAAAAAGCAAAAAAAACAAAAAGCAAACAAGCAAAAAAGCAAAAACGCAAAAAGTCACAAAAAAACAAAAAGCAAAAAAGCACAAAAGCAAACAAGCCAAAAAGCAAACAAGGAAAAAAAACAAAAAAACAAAAAAAGAAAACAAGCAAAACGCAAAAAAATCTTAAAGAAGCAAAAAGCAAAAAAGCACAAAAGCAAACAAGCAAAAAAGCAAACAAGCAAAAAAAGCAAAACAACAAAAAAAAGCAAAGAAGCAAAAAAGCAAAACAGCAGAAAAAGCAAACACGCAAAAAAGCAAAAAAAAAAAGCAAAAAAGCAAAAAAAAACGCACAAAAGCAAAAAAGCAAAAAAACAAAAGGAGAAAGCAAGATAAAACAAGAAATCCAAAAAAAAAAACATCGTAAAAAAAAATCCAAAAAAATATGCATCCCATAAAATAAATCAAAATAAACAAGAAGGAGGATAATGGCAACCTTTTCATGGACGAAAAACCATGTTTCGGGTCTTAAAGCTTGAAACAAATCATTCAAAAATGATTCAAAAAGGACGAACGTAATTTGACGCCAAAAAAATATCTGAACTGGTTTTGTCGCCATCGTGGTTTACAAGAGGTGGGGTCTCAACAGTGACCACTGTGCCTCGCGGCAATTGTCGGCCAATCGCTGCATGTTGCTCCGCAATGTGGGCAAAGCCTGGGACAAAAACAGAAGATTCGCTCGGTTTAGGGCATCAAAATCATCAAATTCTAAAGTCGCTCGGTTTAGGGCATCCCATCTTGTTGCAAAACTCTGGCCAAACAATATTCTTCCACAGTCATTCACACCTTTCAAATTCTGGGCAAAAGTTGGGCAAAACACAGGCATGCCACGAAACAGAAAAAACAACATCAGCATGAAACTATATGAAACTACGAATGCATAAAAAGGTAGCATACAGTAAAACATAGATAAAACATAGTACAAGTCCCAAACTCATCATCTGCCGCGCCTGGCGAATGTGGTTCAACAATAGGAATTGCAGCCGCTGTGCCAAGTTGGGAATCCCGCACCTCAGATGATCAAATTGCATCGAAATCGGGTCCGAAAGCCAAGGTGAAAGCTACGAGATGAGTGTTACTAATAGGCTATTGATGGCTATAATATGCTATATAGTCCTTATATAGTCACTATATAGTTGCTATAGTTTTTTGTATAGTTACCGTATAGCTCTTTATAGTTTCTATAGTTTCGATCTCAAAATCCAAGGAGCTGTGACTGCAAAGGTTGCAGTTTGGGATGTCGTGCGAAGAAATCTCGCTCAGCCTGCGCGGCAAAGGTTTTATTCGTTTAATTGGACATGAGCATATTCCTGACAAAAAAAACATCATTTCATGCTGTCCCAGGAATGGTATAGTCCATGTTTGGCCAAACCGCTTCGCTAAGACATTCATCACCCCAATTTGTGATCGTCAGAGAGAAGCAATTTTGTGCGTATCCCCCATATCCCATTGAAAAATGAAGGCACGAGGAGAAAGATGAAACCGATGGAACCGTAAACAACTTTAAAGCCAATTGAACCAATCAAACTGATACGATGATATGATATGCCAGCAAAAGCTGCAACCATGGACTAAGCAAAACCTGCCAGTGAAACAGAAAACAATCGTCTGGCAACTCAGAAAATCATGCATTCACGGATGTAACACCAACACATTCTTGAGTCAATTTTTGAGGACTCTTGGTAGCCGAATTGGTCGGGGTTCCCAGGTCAAAATTTGAACCATCTTGGAAAATAACTTGCTCCAAAAAGATCAAACGACATCCTCAAAGTGCGGTCTGTCTGGAACCACAGGTTGTCGGAACTTTTAATCTGAAACTTCCCTGGTAGGCCACTGCCAAGAATTTTAAAAGCAACGTGTGTACATGTAAACATATGTAAACCATTGCAAATCCTTCTGGTTGCTCTTCTGAAAAAAATCCAAGTGTCAAGACTTGAGGGACCCCAATGACAACCACCAGCTGCACACTGGCTGTGACCTTCAGAGCTTCTTCGAAAGTCACTCCTGCTTGACTGGCAGCTTCGCTCCTGCATACATGCTTTTACTCGAGAAGTCGATGCCAGGAAATACACAAATGCTCGACAAATGTTCCACAAATGAGAATGTGCAACAGAATGAATGCAAACCTTCTGTCCTGCAAACCACGGCCGTGTAGCCCAAACGAAGTGGATACACATCACCCAGCAATGCTGAGATGGCATTGCCAGCATCATCCAAATCAAACTTGGTCAAAACTCCCACCTAAGAGGTGCCATTTGGCAAGCGTTGCTAGCACTCTAGTGAACCAAAGGCAAGCAATGGCAAGCAATCAAGAAACAACACGAAATAAAGCACCAAAAAAAGTATCCTTCGGCATCCTTTGCAACTTCAAAGTGAATTGATGTGACCTGATGTGAACTGTTTCACAAAGACACCCAAAAACAGTCACTTCATCCTGCCAACAATTGCCATGGGGCCCTTTAGTTCACTGAAACGGCATGACTTAATGGCGTCCTAGGTCCTAGACATGCGAAACAGATCGAAAAAGCTGGCTAGCCGCAGCTAGCCATTGTGCCTAGTCAAGGGCATACAAAACGCATCAAGACCTGCAACTCGTATCAACTCGTACCATGAAATCATCATACAAATGGCCGGGTACAAGTTCCAGATGTCAGAAATATGATTTCACATGGCTTCATCAGCATCGTATCGAAACTTCGAACTCCATGAAGTCCCAGTTCGACCTATTGCTTACTCATACATCTTAGAGACATCTCATGCCCATGAAGTCTATTTATATGTCTTGACCTGCCAAATCCATCAACTTTTGGAACTTTTTTCACTTCCACCATCTTTCACCATAGCTTTTTTTCTCGCCAAGCTACGGTGCGCAGGCCCTGCGGATCCACTTCACGCGCCAGGGCCAAAGCATCCGAAGTGGCCAGGTCCGAATTCGCTGCAGAGATGGCTAAGATGATGCTGCTGGGTTTCTCTACGTATTTCTTCACCAAGTCCCTCAGTGTCTGTCGTTTTTCTGTGAAGGCTGTGGTTAAAGAGGGGTGCAAACATGGGGATAACATGAGCACCAAGAAGAGGACTTGCTGTATACCCGTCGAAATTGAAAAAGGACGCCAATAGTATTTTCATGTATTTTCCTTCAAGACATGCAAAAAGATCAAAAAGGGCAAAGTTAGCATCTGTCCAGTTCTAATGGGGGAAGCTTTCGTTCGAGTATAAAGACCACTGATGAAGAGCACTTGATTAGTCAAGATTGGTTGGCGCCTAGTAGGCGCCTAGGATCCCGAAGTGTTTCCGGGATCCTAGGTCGTGGATTCCACCCAGCCTCCCATCATACCAGCTGCCCTTCGTGTTCCAATCATACCAGTCACATCCAGTCACCAATGAATTGGACCAAATCCACGGATGCGCCCGGGATCAACTGAGCTGATGCCAATTGATGCGGGACACCTGATCTTCTGCGGGATGTCTTTTGGCTGATCTGCAGTTGGCACCTGCGATTGACATGACTGACTTGGCCACTCACCACTGGCATCACTTCAAGTGACTTGACATATTGATTTGACATGACATGACTGACTTGATGACTTGATGCCTTTATCTGCTGCTTTCGGGTGACTTGGGGGCCAGCCGGGCCAGCAGGGTCAGCACCTTCGTCAAGCCGGGAAGATCCACCAGCGTCAGGTCCATGACTTTGGGTGAAAAAATGCGAAGCAAAATGGGATCGTCACTGACACCTGGCAAGCTATGGAAAAGTCCCCAGGTTGGCAAAAATACACAGCCACACAGCCAAAATCTTGCAAACCCTGCCACTCAATCAGTGAATTCCGCGTAACTATGTATAATTATCATGTTAATATTAATGTTTGTTAATATAATATATGTTCATGATGTTTGATCCATTTTGATCCTACTGATTTCTTGAAACTTGGCGTGGTGCTTTCAACCCTTCAGCCCGGCACGGTTGTTGCCGCAGAGTCGGATGGTCTCAGATTCGATTTCTTTTCGCACATCGTCGAAGCCACGAAACCTGGCGGCCAGGTGGTCACATGGTAAGATCTTCGAAAAAAATACGCCCTGCTCAAGAACCTGGATGATTTTATGATCATAAATGATCATAATATATCTAAATGATCATAATTTATATCATTTGAGCTTGCAAGTGTTGGCTAAGTAGTTGTAAGATGTTGTAAGGTAACCAGCTGGGGGATTCTTTTGCTTCGAAAGAAGTCTCCCATATATCTCGTGATTTGCGTATTGTAAAGGACTGGGCCTTACAAAATCCTAGCGCTGTATCAGTGACCTTTTATCCAATTCTTGCTATGCCACAAACATTGATTCCACCAATTGACACGTTGCTTCACAAAAACAACATCACTCACTAATCCAACCACCGCCCCTGCAATGCATTTCGCATCATCTTGCTGTGCCGAACTTACTGACCTCACTTTGGGCTTGTGCTCGAACTCGGCCCATTCATCCTGTCCTTCCCCTCCTGCAACGCCAAGAGGCACGGGATGCCTTCCAATCAAGGCAAGCTTTTGCACAAGTTTTCCAACGAAGGGCACCAAGTGCAATTGGGGAGCTAACTGAAGCCTGTAAAGTAAAGTTCTTTGAAGGTGCTAACTGGAGTGCTAACTGGAGTGCTTCAGAAAGGAGTGGCAACACCTTTCTACACCAAGAAATCAAGACCCGGTGAAATCCAGCAGCAAGGCATCCGTTTTTGGTGGCAGAACCGACCGTTGGGACCAGGGAACACGGTTGTGCTTGTCACAAGCCTTGGGGGCACGCAGCCTACCTTACCATGTGCCCTTGCAGGCCAGGTTAAATATGAGGAATGTGTCCTAGAGAAAGGTAGTGAGACTGTCTACTGAAAACGCTAAATGGAATGCAGCCACCCATCCCGCCAAAAAAAATGTTGAGCATCATCAGACCGTACGGCGATACTATAGGAATTTGACAGGTTAAATGTAATCCCCCTAAATAATCATCCTCCTTGTTGAAGTTTCATGAACTCTCCAGGGTGTAACCATGGCTAGCGGCATCTGGTGGCTAGCATCCCAATGCCCATCAACATGCAGTTCCGCTGTCGGTCCTGTACTCCTGAGCTGCCTCAACTGAAGAACCAATGGTCGACGGGTCACGATGCCAGTGCCGCGTGGCAGAAAATCGCGGCCTCGGTGTCGCGTCTGAAGGGTTGGTGCAACATCGCCCAAAACATTGGGATTATCTGATCATTACACATATCTTGTTGTGTACATACCGGACGGTTTTGTGGACTGCTGGAATACTCCTTCACAGCGAGTGATCTGTGCTAGTCGCAAGGGCCACGACTGAAGGGTCTAGGCACGTGACCAACGAGAATGGGGCGACTGAAGGGGCTATTGATCTTGAAAGTCAGGATAAGTGTAGCGCCTGACTGATGGTTGACGCTTAAATCTTTATTTCATGGGATTATCGTATGATTGGCTTAGTGGAGAGCGCCCATCAATCCAAATAAAAGCCACAAGTATGTCACAGAGACTTGCCCCTTCGTCAGGATTTTGCTTGTCACTCCAGTATGGCCAAAATAGCTACGACGAAATCAAATCAGATAATTGACCAACTTCACTTAGAGGTGCATCAACTTCTTGCGAATTGGTTGAACTGAACACCAGGAATGCTACCCTCTGGTAATTTAACATACTGTAGCTATTGAACATTGCCATAGAAATAGTTGATTTTCCCATTCAACATTGCCATTTTCAGTAGCTATGTTAAATTACCAGAGGGTATTCTGATCCTAAAATGGAGGTACTGTACCATATTTTTGGCCATGTTTTGTGGGGGTATTTCCTTACATAGGCCATTGATAATACTACCCTACACTTTGGCGCCGTGTTGCCAACGAGGCTTTCCAAGACGGAAGTCTTCCCCACGGACTGCGATCCCATGACGGTAATCATTGGCAAGGAGAGATCTGAAGTCAATCCTGCCAAAATCCAATGCCAAAGCGTCAAAACATGTCAAAACCAACGCAGAATAGGGATAATATGGGGATAATATAACTAGACATACCTGATATAAATGATATAACTGATATAACGGGAATATGCTGGAGATTGGGAAACAATGAACGTTTTCCATGGTTTTCCCATGATTTCTTCGTCTACGACTGTGAATTGCACCCAGATATTTTCATCAACCGAAGGGGCTCCTGCAGAGATGATCACTTGGTGAATTGCATTCAGCACCGCCAAGGGGTCCTTCATGGAAGGCAACTCCTCGGCTCGCAATGGGATGGGGCCAGATTCGGCCGGATTCGGGCGGATGGGGTGTTGAACGACCTCACATGACCTCACTTCATTCACTTCGTATCCGAGTGGTGAGTGGAGTGTTGGCTGAGTGCTGCTGGTGAGTTCACAGTTTCAGTGTCAAACCTGAATCGCCATGAAAATTGTGACGAGCATCTTCCGTCCGTTCAAGAGCAGGAAGCACATCGGAAGCAGCTGCAGTCATCTGTTCCGATGTCTCCTGACTCACATGTCACTTCGGCCACTTCGGCCAAACTGTCAATTGATTTTTTTTTTCATTGCGAGTTGATCCCCAATTTTGCTTACCCGGAGAAAAAGGCTCTCTTTCTTGGCTCCTGGGTGCTTACGTCCGCAGTGGGCTGCATGTTACCTCCATGCAGCTTCCCCTGGCATGGCAGTGCTGGTCACAGCAAAATCGAGAGATCCACCGTGATCTACCACATACCCTCTGGTAATTTAACAGTTTGCTATTGAAAATCACCATTTATAGATTTTATAGTGAATTTTCCCATGAAAAATGGTGATTTTCAATAGTTATGTTAGTTTACCAGAGGGTATTCTGATTTCAAAAGTCTTCAAATCTACAAAGCCCAGAATCCTTGAGAAATCCCTTGGATGCTGGATCCAGATTTTCCAAATTTCTCATAGCTGATAGCTGTACCCCATTCCCTGCCTTGGCAGCCAACAAGCTCTCGTGGAAGCTTTTCAAAACATCCATGTGGCATTGTCATCTGCACTGCGACCAATCCAAGTTATGGCTGAGTCAACTGTGCCCTGGACCTCTGAAAAATGGAGAAAGATGGCCCGTTCCACCGTGACCAACAAAAAGGGATCAGAGATACAACAACCAGGACACAATCCCACAGGGATTTTCTTAACCAAACTCATCTACAAATCGCTTTCCCCTAGTCCATACCTCCGGTTGTTTTGTCTTTCTGCTAGTTCACTGCAGTTGCGTGTCACGATGTGTCACGTGACTCTCTGTATGTGCCAGTCCCAGCAATGGCTAATGATTTGAGGACTGTCGCATCCGCAAAACCTTCCGACTTGCACATGCATATCACTGCATATCTGCATATCTTCTTGGCTCCTGAGTATCTGGTGCCTACTTAGTGCCCAATGCCCATGTAAGTCTTTGAAGGGCACTGACAAGATTCCTCGGCATGGTTTCACTCTGCACGGCTCTGGAAGACTAAACGCCTGCGCAACATGCCATGCCTAGACTGCTAAGATGCTCCAAGTCAATTTCCCTTTAGCAGTGTGGGGCAACCAACACCTGGATATCAGAGAATGCACCCGACAAGCAGCCACGGAAGTAAAAGGCCAACAATCTTTTCCTTGGGATGTCAGCCACGGAAAGCCTGTGCGGCAGCCTGAACCAATTTCAAAAGGGGTTGAAATGATCACCCAGAATGACGCACGCTGTATGCTTTCTCAGCACACGAGCAATTGAAGCGTTGGAACAGCCTTTGGTCCCTGCATTCAAACACTGAACAGAAATTTACAGGTGAAACTGTTTTCCCACTGTGCATGTCAGAAATAGCAAGCCCTGGCACTGCGGCCACGACGGGCTTTGTGTGTTGCTACATCGGTACGTGCCTTGCTCATGTTACCCGTATCCTGTGATCCACATGGAAAAATGTAAGTCCGCCACATGGAAAACCGAATCTCGGCACAACTTCTGCATATCGCATGGTGCCGGTCACCTGCCACGGTCAAGCCATTAATCGGAAACTAAAACCCGTTAATCGGAAACTAAAACCCGTTAATCGGAAACTAAAACCCGTTAATCGGAAACTAAAACCTGTTAATCGGAAACTAAAATAATCGGAAACTAAAACCCGTGAATCGGAAACTAAAACCCTTGAATCGGAAACCAAAAACCCGGAATCGGGAACCAAAGCTGAATCGTAAACTAAAGCAGGTGAATCGGAAACTAAAACCTGTTAATCGGAAACCAAAAGAATCGGAAACTAAAACCTGTTCATCAATCCTAATGGGCAACTTGTCTTCTTCCAATGGAGTGGATTGCATGGGTTCTCTTTAATTGGGATCAGACCACGGCAAATCATGGGAGTGAAATCAGTCCGAAGGTAAGATGAATGTCAAAGGAGGATGTGATTTCGTATGAAGATAAGTTGTAGGTGCTATCCTATGTAACACAGTCGCCAGACGGGGTTGGCGGATTTGATTTCTTATGAAGTGAATTAGCGGGTAATATCCTATTGAGCATAGTGGCCAGAGGGGGTGGCGGATTTGATGTCTTATGAAGATAAGTTGAAGTTAATATCCTATTCAACATAGTGGCCAGAGGGGGTGGCGGATAATTTCCTTTGAAGTGAAGTAGAAGGTAATATCCTATTCAACATAGTGGCCAGAGGAGGGTGGCGGATTTGATTTCTTTTGAAGTGAAGTAGATCCTTTTTGAAGTGAAGTAGAAGGTAATATCCTATTCAACATAGTGGCCAGAGGGGGTGGCGGATTTGATTTCCTTTGGAGTGAAGTAGAAGGTAAAATCCTATACAACATAGTGGCCAGAGGGTTTGTCGGATTTCATTTCCTTTGAAGTGAAGTAGAGGGTAATATCCTACTCAACATAGTGGCCAGAGGGGGTGGCGGATTTGATTTCCTTTGAAGTGAAGTAGAAGGTAATACCGTATTCAACATAGTGGCCAGAGGGTTTGTCGGATTTCATTTCCTTTGAAGTCAAGTAGAGGGTAATATCCTACTCAACATAGTGGCCAGAGGGGGTGGCGGATTTCATTTCTTTTGAAGTGAAGTAGAAGGTAATATCCTATTCAACATAGTGGCCAGAGGAGGGTGGCGGATTTGACTTCTTAAGAAAATATGTTGAAGTTAATATCCTATGGAGCATAGTGGCCAGAGGGGGTGGCGGGTTTGATTTCTTATGAAGTGAAGTAGAAAGTAGTATTCTATTCAACATAGTGGCCAGAGGGGGTGGCGAATTTGATTTCCTTTGAAGTGAAGTAGATGGTAATATCGTATTCAACATAGTGGCCAGAGGGGATGGCGGATTTGATTTCTTATGAAGTGAAGTAGAAGGTAATATCCTATTCAACATAGTGGCCAGAGGGGGTGGCGGATTTGATTGCCTTTGAAGTGAAGTAGAAGGTAATATCCTATTCAACAGAGTGGCCAGAGGGGATGGCGGATTTGATTTCCTTTGAAGTGAAGTAGAAGGTAATATCGTATTCAACATAGTGGCCAGAGGGGGTGGCGGATTTGATTTCTTATGAAGATAAGTTGAAGTTAATTTCCTATTCAACATAGTGGCCAGAGGGGGTGGCGGATTTAATTTCTTTTGAAGTGAAGTAGAAGGTAATATCCTATTCAACATAGTGGCCAGAGGAGGGTGGCGGATTTGATTTCTTAAGAAGAGAAGTTGAAGTTGAGAGTGTCGCAGCTTTCATGGAGTGGCAAGTATTCAGAAGCTGCTTGTTCAAAATATGGTTTACTCAACTGTGTCTGAAGAGTCCCAACGTCACAGTCTGTCTGTTGCCTCAGTCGAAACGCACCTGCTCTCGTGTGTTTTTTAGTTTCTGATTTTCTGGTTTTGGTTTCTGATTCGCGGTTTTTGGTTTCTGATTCGCGGGATTTTGGTTTCTGATTCGCGGGAGTTTGGTTTCTGATTTGCGGGATTTTAGTTTCTGATTCGCAGTTTTTAGTTTCTGATTCTCAGTTTCTGATTCGCGGAGTTTTGTTTCTGATTCGCGCATTTTAGTTTCTGATTCGCGGGATTTTTGGTTTCTGATTCGCGGGATTTTGGTTTCTGATTCGCGGATTTTAGTTTCTGATTCGCGGCTTTTAGTTTCTGATTCTTTGTTTCTGATTCGCGGTAAGTTTCTGATTCGCGGTTTGTTCCACCTGCCACGGGCAAAGCAACTGCCATGCTGTGATGCAAGGCTGGGGTCATCCAGAACGAGCAACCAAGGGATATGGGTCTGTTGTCTTACCACCATTCTCTCCTTTGCTTCAAAGTGCAATATTTATCATTACCTGAAGCCCCTTGGATGACAATCTGACAATCCCATTGGTGTTGTTGGTTGCATTCCCCCCGGAAACCCAAGGTGCTGGACACAAGATGTCCTGCCATACTACACAGCTTTGATGCTTGATTTCTGCCATAGGAAGAGGCCCGATAAGCCAGCCATGGCACATGAATGGACAGTGGCCGAAACCTACACACATCGATTGACCTCCCAAAACTTACCCCGTGCCAACAACAAAATTTAACAAAAATCCAATTACCACCAGAGAAAGCCACAGCATCGGTGCTTGACGGCTGGAGAGAATCCCTGCCTTGGCGAAATTGCAAACTCTGGTCCGGCTGTTCCTGACGGGACCCGTAGGGTCGCACCAAACCAATGCCACATGGAGCTTCTTGTGGGGGTCGTACTGCTAGAGAAACACATTTTGGCCGTGACGGAAATGGAAAACACGGAACAAACCCACTCACATGTCCTGAAATACCAGGGGCAAAGTCAAACATTCAGTCAGCCACAACTGGTGGCAACAACTGCTGGGTTGCCCGTCTCACATGCCTTTGGCACCAATGGCCCTGCAATATGTGTCATTTCTGGTATTCAGCCATGGATTTTTCGAGGCACACAATTTAAATTTAAAACCATTCCCAGATCGACCGCCATTGCTGAAGGTGCATTCTGGAACTTGGAAGTAGCAACGAAGACACAGAGATGTCACAATCGTTGCGTTGGACATGGATTTCCCTCTTCCATTCGTTCCTGCAACTTGTGCACTTCATCATAAAAAAAACTCAATTGTTGGAATCATTTCTATGTAGACGGCAGTCAGATTCACTCCACCAACGGAGTGCACCCAGTATTTCCCATCATATCTTCCAATCAACTAGTTACTAGTTATAGATCTGGAAATCCACCATTTGCAAAACATTTCCAGGGGAAATCATAGATTTTCCATATTTTTTTATGTCTCTACTGTCTCTACCTTAGGGCATCCCCTGACATGTTGCTTCACGGGCGCTTCTTTTTGGGTCAGGATCTTCTGTCACCGCAAGCGACCACCATGATCTGCGTTTTGGGCCAGTCAGGGTATTCCGTGTCCACCGCCTCCATCGCATCTAATGCATCCAATCCAGACAGAACTTCGCCAAAAACCACATTTTTTCCATCAAACTCCGGCAGAGATCGCAAAGTCACCATGAATTTGGAGCTGTTGCTATTGGGGCCATGGTTCACCATTGAAAGTAAACCACGTTTATGGTGCAGGTCTTGAAAACCTTCATCGGAAAATGTGGGGCCATAGATGGATTCGCCTCCAGTGCCGTTAAATTTGGTGATATCACCCCCTTCCACGAGGCTACGAGGAATGACCTTATGCACCACACTGCGGCGGAAACTCAATGGAAGGCCCTTTGTACCAGCGCGCTCTCCGGTGCAAAGACAACGGAAATTCTCAGCGGTGCGAGGAACTGTATCGCTATATAAAGCGATATTCAGCCGATATATGGGGCCATTTCCTGACACTGAGTGGCCAAAGTATGCTAAAATCATCAAATATATTTTTCGAGAAGTAAACCTTCTGGGCATTTGGACAAACAAGTCAAAAAAAAAAGACATCCTAGCGTTGGGGAAAAGCTTCCTCCACTTGCTAACCAGTTTCCAATCTGAATCTCCAACCATACTTGAGGCAGTACAGAGAGGTCACGATCCCGAGCAAGCTGTTCAGGTGCTTTGTGGAAGATTCCTCCAAATGCATTCCTTGCTGGATGCAGTTGGAGCTTTTGGAAAAGGAACGAAGGGAATATCAAAATCTATGCTTGGACGGGAGGAGCTAAGGCCTGGTTGATGTTTTCACCATGTTTCACCCTATCCTCCCTCTGAAAGAATGACTGCGAGCTGGGGACGATCTCAATCTTCTAAGGTCAAATCAACATGCCTAAGATTGGGATGATTGAAACAATAACATTGGCAAGGTGATTGTCTGGATCTTTGCTCACTTGGCATGTCATCATTCTGGGCTAGAACACTTGCCAGCATGCGAAAACAAAAAAAACAACATCTTGGAGACCGCAGCCGCCCAAATTGGAACCATCCAGGGAGCCACAACCCGTGTTTTGTCATCTCTCTCTCTCTCTCGCCTCATTTGTTCCAAAAACACAAATTGGGATATCCACCATATGTAGATGAATCCATCTGGAATTCACTGATTCAATCATCTCAAAACATCTAAAACCATTTTGAAACATGTGAAGTCATCTCTAAATCGCCCATTTTATCCACATTTCCACATGCGGCCTTTTCGACCAACCCATATTTTGAGGAGATAGATATCAACAGAAACAGAATTGAAATTCCCAAAAATTGCCCAGCTTCTTATGCCATTGGGCACTTGCTGCCAGCTTCTCTCTGCACTCTTCCAGTCGCGCTCGAATCTCTGCGTTGGGATCTGCCTGGAAGGCCTGACAAAGGTGGGCAGGGCCGGTGACACCGGTGACACAGGTGACAGGGATGGTTTGGAGCAACTTGAAGAATTTATGATAGGCTGATAGGCCGATAGGCCCCAAACCAACCCGCTTTGGGGATGATTCCCCTTTCCACCATTTACGCTTAGCTGGCTTAGCTCGTTGTGAGGTCGCAATAATTAAGCTTCTTAATGCGCGGGAGCAGCTAAACATGGCAGAGGCATGTGAAACACCATCAAACAGAGACTGCCAGCAAAGTGCAGTGTAACAAGTCCATCATGTACAGTACACAGGACATCTCCTCAAATAATCTAAATGGACATGATGGATAAGCTGGGTAATGTTGGTTATCATCGAAATTACAAACTGGTTGTTTCATTTGACCTCCCGGCAAACTATTTCAATGTGAGCGTTTCTTCGGATCATCATCTCAGGCAAGGATGACACAAAAACCTATTTTAGACCACCAATACCAAAAAAGTATTTGATTACATTACCCCGATTGTATCCAGATCCATCAATGTATCATTGTCCACATAATAGCTGAAAACTTTCTTTAAGCCAAGGTATCCATCTGGATATCATCCCTAACCATCATCCCACATCCAAGCTACCCAACTGTAGTCACCATCGATCTTGGAAAAATCAAATATCTCTATTTTCATATCCTAAAAGGAAAGATGTATAAAAATCTGGGATATGGAAATATCGTAAATTGTCGTTTCCATCTCTTTTTCGATGATTTCCCCCATGTCCCAGGTGGTATCCATCCCATCCATCCCCCAGCCCCAGCCCAGCGCCTTCAACAGATCCACCTTCGCCTCCTCCACGGCGCCCTGCCGCAGTTGGGCCACACCCCGGCGGTACAGCGCTTTGCAGTTCCCACTGTCCAGCTCCAGGGCGCTCGTGGCGCTGTCGATGGCCCTCGGATACCTGGGAAAATTGGCTGAACATCTGAAAACTGTTGGAGTTTTGGTGAATTTTTGCAGTTTTAAGATTGGAAAATGTCAAAACTGTTGGAACTTGGAGTTGAACATCTGGGAAAAGTGACAGAAATTAAGGGATTTTGACACTTTGTCCCTGGCTTATACGTTTACTTAAGCTTGTAAACCATGGCAAACTTCCATGACAGTGCAATAACTTATGCTTAAAAACCATCACTGTTTATGGGACCAATTGAGGTTAAAGCAGCGATTGTTGATGGGGTTGAGGTTTCTGAAGCAAGATAATTTACAATCTTATTCAATGAATAGTTGACAAGCCGAAAACCTGGCAAAACAGCATTTTCTTGTGGCCTTGCAAACAAAATGGATCACACTTGAGAAACGGCAATGGTTCAACTGTTTCACAAAGGAAACATGGGGATTTTACAACCAGAAATTTGGGACAAGAAAGGGGTCAAATCACCTGGTTGCTATCTGCCTGTTTTGACCCTGCCTGTTTTGGCTGGGAAGTCCGGGTGGTGCAACTATGAAATTAGTTAGTGGGGGACCTGGCCACAATAGGGAGAAACCAAGAACAAATACGAGCTTCCCGAGTTTCTGGTCAAGTGGGAATCACGGCTTATTTGGGGATGGCACATTAGGATTGTTTTGAAACATGTTGAAAGCAGGCGCCAGGATACTCTTCCACTTTCAAATCGCATTGTGACAAGTTCAAAAAACACGAGAGCCGCAGCTGGTGCATTTCCTCAAACATCTGCTGGGTCACAGCCACTTCACCATCACTCTCAATAGGTTTCAGCAACATCAAGGCTTCTTTGTAAGCTTTCCGTGCAGCGTGAAACTCTCCATTCCGCGTCAGCTGATTTCCTCGTTCCTTCGCTTCAGTCGCCCTTCTGAGACGCTGCATTTGCACCGATTCCTTGGATTTCTGCAGCTTCCCGGTTCCAAGGCTCTTTCCAACCGTTTCATCCACATTTGGCGCGGTGGCTTCCACCTTTGCTGGGAAAAGATGAATGGTGAATTCCAACAATGCGCCCGGTGGGATGTCATCTCCAGCTCCATCTTCTCCATAAGTCAGACTAGGATGTGCCAGAAACACACTGCGTTCGTTGGGTTTCATGGTGGGAATTGCCAAGTTCCAAGCCTCCAAAACATCTTCCGAACCCAGGGTGAAATCAAAGAGTTCATCCCCTGAAGAATCGATCCTTGGAAAAATTCAGATCCAGACAATCCAGACCCTCAACAAATCAACAAATCGATGGCTGAAATCAGGCAGTTCCAACAAACAAAACGTGCTTTCAGTATATATATATAAGATGTATTCAAACTGATTGATCACCATGTTTCTTTATGCCAGGCCCTTTGCCATCAACTGACGGCTTCACATACTTCATAGATACAAATCACATCGCGTAAAAATCATGTCGTACCATGCCTGGGAACCAATTGAAATCAACAACAGTAACATATGAAAAATGGAATCAATAACTACCAAGCAAATCAAGAAACAAACAATCATCAAATGCATAAATCAACACAAACATTCATAAACGGATCCCATCCTCATCTCCTACCAAGATCTTCCAAAATCTGCCAAGACATCCAAGACTCAGTTCTCCGATTTCTCCGAGTTCTCCAACCTTTCCAATGGCGTCACCGGCCTCGCGGACCACGCGCGTCTCGTAACGCACTGCCACGGTGCCTCCGGGCCGCGGCGCGTCGCCAGCGCCAGTGGCGACGACGCGCTTCAGCAGCCGCCCGTCGCCCAAGAGGTCGTCGTAGCCACCCATGGAATCGGAGGAAACGGGGCACCAAAATGTGGGGAAATGGGAAAAATATGGTGGGGAGATGCCAATTTGATATTTGAATTCTCCCGTTTTTTGTTTTGGAAGAAATGGCTCCCAACATGTGTAGGAAAGACCCTATCCAACTGGAAAAAGTCCTGGACAGGATATGAAGATGACTTTACTTTGAGCGACCCACACCCTGAAAAACTATTCTGGCATAGTTTCTGAATGTTTCTGACATAGCATCTGGAATTAAATATGGCAAATTACTTTACTTCGAGTGATCCCCACGCTGACACTTATTTGTCATGGTTTCTGACATATCACCTGGAAATATATAAACATTCACACCACCACTTTTTACGTGCGTTGCAGACCAGTTTAGTCAAATTCAAAAACAATTCGGGAATAAAAAAGTTGGAAATTGATTGTCACAAATTCTAGAAGGTAATACCCACTACCTTCTTTAAGGCACACACATTTCTCTTCCGCCACACCGGAAGGAGAAATGTTCCTTATGTCCCCTGAGTTTCACGCCGCACCGTAAAAACTCAGGCACCAGACATTTGACAATCAAAAAATCATAAAGGAAATATTTCCGGTCACCATCCAGACCACACTTCCCCCCTCCCTTTTCATAATTCCCCACCTGCCAGGTGAGGGTTGTTAGATTTTATGTCAGTTGCCTGGTCCTCCTCCTCCTCCTCTCCTCTCCTCCTCCTCTCGTAGTCCTCCTCCTCTCGTTGTCCTCCTCGTCCTCCTGCTCAACTGCGACTCGCGATCCACAGTGTTCTCTGTCGGACCTCAACCACGACCATCCACGCCCAGTGTTCCCTGCCGGACCTCAACCACGACCATCCACGCCCAGTGTTCCCTGCCGGACCTCAACCACGACCATCCACGCCCAGTGTGCCCTGCCGGACCTCAACCACGACCATCCCCGCCCAGTGTTCCCTGCCGGACCTCAACCACGACCATCCACGCCCAGTGTTCCCTGCCGGACCTCAACCGCGAGTATCCACGCCAAGTGTTCCCTGCCGGACCTCATGAGATATGCCAGATAGAATGCCAGAAGATATGCCAGATGGAATGTCAGATAGAATGCCAGAAGATATGCCAGATAAAATGCTATGAGATATGCCAGATAGAATGCCAGAAGGTATGCCAGATAAAATGTCAGATAGAATTACACAAGATATGCCAGATAGAATCCCAGAAGATTTGCCAGCTAATATGCCAGAAGATATGCCAGATAGAATGCCAGAAGATATGCCAGAACATATGCCAGAAGATATGCCAGATAGAATCCCAGAAGATTTGCCAGATAGAATGCCAGAAGATATGTCAGAATATATGCCAGAAGATATGCCAGATAGAATGCCAGAAGATATGTCAGATAGAATGCCAGAAGATATGCCAGATAGAATGCCAGAAGATTTGCCAGATAGAATGCCAGAAGATATGTCAGATAGAATGCCAGAAGATTTGCCATTCAGAAAATGTAAAAATGTCATGGTGGGGATCACACGAAGTAAAATATTTTTTTCGAGCTTTTCGCTCCTTTCCACGTCCCCCTGATCTGTTCTTGGAAAGAACTTGCTCAAGCGAGGGCTCTGAATTCCACTTATCAAAGATGCGGTGAAACGGAGTCAACAAGGTTTTGGGGATCTGTATTTCAGTGAGCATAGCCAGGCCTGAATTGATGTAAATTCTGGCAGTTTTCAGGGCAGTCCATCTGCCTGCAATAATGACCTTGTCAAGAGACCCGCCTTTCACAAACAGGTGGGTGGCTCCACCTCTTCGAAGTGAGTAAGGTCTAAATTCCCAACGGTCTAACTTGAGTTTTTGAACACATTCTGAAAACAGATTGCGCCACGTATGGGGCTTTAAAGTCAAGAAGGTGTGTTCTGGTACACGACTCTTCCAAGCCCGTAGATGCTGGATGACATGTTTCTCTGTCAAAGTGACGCTCTCCGCAGCGCCTTGGCGCTTTCCAGATTTGGTCAAACCCAAATTGAGAACAGCAGGTTGATTGGGGGAGTCAACATGTATTTGCCAGGCTTGAATTGATAAAAGTTCGCCTGTCCGTAACAAAGCGTAGAGCCCTAGCAATAAACTCAGCCCAAATGTTTCATGCCCCTGGGTCACAGCCCATCCTACCATTGCCCTGAGAACTGCTTCTGTCATAGGTGGAGCGCGAGCTGGCACTTCGTGCACTGCCCATGTTTTCATCAACCGCCAAGAGCCTAGGAGGTTGTGCCGTAACTTCGGCTGGAAGTCCTGCACTGCCGCCATAAATGTGCTGGCCGTGGCACGTCCCTCCCCTTGAGCCCACAAGTACTCGAGGTAGTCGGATACCAAGGCATCCATGCAATCTTTCTTTGTGGGGAGCTCTAGGTGTTCTTCACGGAGGTAGCGAAAAAAGGCTGCTAAAGATGCACTGTACCTTTCTTTCGTTTTTTCTTGCACTGTCAAATTTTTCAACGTACCTAATTTTTTGCGGATAGCTTTCCTACGTTCCTTGCTGCAGGCCCCAGAATGGGATGTTACTTTTTTAACCATTTTTTGCGGGTGCCCCAGCGTGACGGGCGGTCCGCCGGGTTCTCCTTGGTATTGATGTAACCCCAAATGGGGCGAAGCCCGCTTGCAAGTAAGTAGGAACTGATCCGCATAATTGTGCGTCGCATCTTTCTTGATGATGACCTTCTTCGCGTCAAAGCATGGAGGACTACAAGGCTGTCCGCCAGATGCACGCACCTTACATCAATTTGTGCTTGTTGAAGAATGCGCCATTTTAGTGTTGTGAAGACTGCCCTGGCTTCCAGCACATTAATGTGCTCAGCATCCCCTTGCCATCGCCATCCTGAGACTGGCTTCCATCTCCACAGACTTGCCGGCACCCCTGAGCGCAAGCGATGATGTCTGACTGGTACTTCGGAGACACTCTGCAACATCAGGTCTTCTCCCTTGATAGAGACCAAACCTGTCAGCTTAGCTGTCAGGCGATCACTGGGAGAGAGGGTTTTTGTCCCTTGGCCCAGAGGTGGGCGCAGCAAAAGAGTCTGGAGGTGAGAAGACCTGCCTGGCGTCAACTCAGTAATGATCTCCTGCAAACTCAAAGGCTGCGTCAGCCCCAGCGATTGCTGCAGTAGCCAGGCAATCACCCCAACAGACCATGAGTTGCCTATCAAACTCAAGCGACAATCGGCATGACCCACCGTCCCATGGAACTCCTTCTTCTGACATTGTAGTGTGTAGTTAGGAGGGAATCCCATGATTACCTCCCTTTCCAGGATGCTGGGAGTCCGAAGCCTCCCATCACGGTGGCGCAAGCAGTGCCTCGTCATGTACTGATACGGGGGGAATCGGTGTTGATGGTCTTTCCAGCGCCTGAGCTCTTCTTCATTGCAATCTTTGAGCCCTGCTGGTCGCCTCAGCGGTTTCAAACTTGGCCTTGATGTAGTAAAAGTTGGCAACGCAGTTTGGGAGGATCTAGTCCATCCCTTTTCCAAAAAGCACTTTTCCTCCACCTCGGCGATCAAGTTGATCTGCCCCTTCAAGGGCAGCCTGTCCCCTGTACCCCAATAGATCTCCACACCTTCTGCCTCCTGGACTTCCCAAGTCACCCAGTAGAGTCTGGGACGGTGTGCTAAGCTAACCCCATCAGAGTCGATGAACCATCGTTCATCACCTGGCAGTCCTCATAGTCCATTGATGCCACGTTCTCCGTAAGGCTGTGCACCTGAGCCCAGGGAAAGGCGCGCCTGAACAGGTCCACAACACGGGGCACCTCTTTGAAAAGCTTGCTACGTTGATCACGTAGTGCACCTTTGCGATCACTGTTCAACCCTGAGACCCCTTGACACGGGGGTCCTCCGCCTACCAACACTAGCCCTACAGACGAAAATTTCAAGGCCCCTTCATGGACTTTGTCGCCATCAACCTTCAGGACGTCATCCACATGCTCACAATCTGGAAAATTCGACTCCACAACACGTCGTGCTTCTGGATTGCTCTCCACTGAAATGTGCCCGGCCACCGGAGCTCTGAGGGTATCCAGAGCCACCCTCAAAGCAGCAATACCATCAAACAATCCTACGCTAAGCACCTGAGTCAGCTCCACAGCTTCTGGAATATCCCCCCTAACACCACTCACACTTGCAGCATACCCATAGGGAGTCAAACCCACACTTCGCGCAATTCCCCCACCTGTAGTGGAGGCATCACTGGCAGTGACCATGGTGTCAAAGGTTCCCCGGAAGCTCATGAAGCTCAAAGGGCATAGGCCTATAAACCTAACCAGTTCTACCATGACCTCTCTTTTTAACCATCTGCGCCATGTGGGGCTACCATCTTCAGCTTCCACAATCATCCTCCAGATATGGTTCAAACTTGATAAAAGGGGTCTGTTGAACATAGCAATGTAGACAAAACCCCCTCCCACAATCTGGAGCTCTCGTTGCGAAGCCTTCCCACGTCCCACCAACTCCAAGGCAAGACGGACATACTTGGCTATCTTGGCAGGCTTGGCATTGAGATCAAGCCAGGCTCCTTGCACCTCTGCCCCTAGCTCTTGCTGTACCGTCTTCTTAGGATGTGTTGGGAGTCCTTCTCTAGCATAACACTCCCTTAACTGTTCAACCGCTTCCGAGGGAGTGCCCGCAATCAAGGTTGCAGTTTTCCGATCAACTTTTTGTAGCTGGTCAAAGTTGTCAAGATAGACTCTAAAAAGGTTTGGAAAAGAACTGAACACCCGATCCCGTCTGAGCTCCTGGATTGTGAGGCCTAAGCCCCGCAAAGACCCCATTGCTTTCTGCACCACAGCCCGATGAATATGTTGGGCTATTCCGACGCTGTTTAAGTACCCCATTGGAAGAACCCGACTGGCTAAAGACCGCCTCTTACTTTCTTGCCCTTGTGGTACCAGCCCTGGTGGTGCCTCCTTGCCAAAGGCCATGAACTTCGTCCAGGACGGCGGTACTCGGAACAAGTAGAAGAAGCAT